AGAGTGTTTCATGTTTGCGTTTCTGTGCCTCGTGGTTTCCGCTGCAGCCATTTCGCTATATCTGGAGAAATGCGAACATCTTCGCTGCTTCTGCCTCTTATAGTTAAGAAGTCCGATTGCCCATCATACGTAATTTGAATACACCCCACGTCAGACCCTCTAAGAGATCTTTCCTGTTCTGCAAGCTTGTGCAAGTGCTGAAGCAGTGCAAGCAGACTCTGCCATTTGTCATTCGGATTTGCTCTCGAGCCGCTTAGCTTTCGAGCGCAATCATACGTAAAGAGCTCAAGCTTCGTTACAGAGCCCCTGTAGTGCTCTCCCTTCAACAGCATCTTCACGCCCCCCAGGAGCATTTGATCTGCAGCTTCACCCCAATGAAGGCTATTTGAAAATCCGTGAGATTTCAACTCCACAAATGGTGGACAACCCATCACCAACTGCTGCTCTAAGAGGGATAACTCGAAACAACTGTGAATGTAACATGGATTCGAGGCAATCCTCTCCTCTGTGTAAATGCACTTCTTTCCACAACGATCAGCACTGCTGTTGCTGCTGTTGCTGGCACTGGCCCCTTTAGATGGCAACAAGTTGAATTCGGGATCTATTGCATCAACCTCAGCAGTGATGAGCACTCGCATTTGCTGGCAGAAGTTGAAAGAGCAGACGACATAGCTTGTCGTCAATTCCTCTAATTTTCCTCCTTGCATACGCATTGCAGCGGCGTTCGTGACTTTGCGTTCGAAATCATGACCGCAGCCCGTGGAAATCCCCTTTGCTGGTACATTGGAGGTAAATATAAGAGTATTTCCGACCAAGTCGACGTCACTTGTGAAGGGGCTGTGATAACGTGTTGTACTGGGAAAAAGAAAACGCAGCAATTCACGCAGGCAACGGCGAGTTGTGATTACAGAAAAAGATGCAAGTCGTTTCAAACACTCCTCAGACTCAACGCTGCTGTCCCAAGAAGGATAAGCAGCAGAAGCTACATCGGAAGCAGCAGAAGCCTCAGCAGGTGGATTTGTGGAGTTTGCAGTGTTTTTCAAACTTTCACGAAACTCATGCCATCGTTTGTTGCAGACAACATATGCCGTAATAGCTGCATCAAGGGGGTAACGCTTATTTCGAAAGGATAGCTGGTTCGAAATAGCTTCTTCGTTGCTGTGTGCAACAGTAATCTGGGTTTTGAGGGGAATTCTTTGGATTTCGGGCAACTGAGCCGTTTGCTTTGAACAGGACCCTGAACCTTCAGGCCTGAAGGATTCCTTCAACTCGGCAGAAGGTCCGCCTATCACTACCGCACTGCTTCTTTCGTCGGCGATGAAGCTGTATATACCTTCAAACTGAAACTCTTGAAACGCTGCTGTTTCACCGCCACCGCCAGCCTGTAGAAGCTTTAAGCATTCTGAACGGGAGACGCGTTCGAGTACAGACGAACTCCTGTGCTCTGAGCGCTCTGTCATATTCGCAGAGGACCAAGAAAACTGCTGGAATCATAAGCTAAAAGTATTTCAATGGGCGGAGAAACTGAGTTTATAGGGAAACACACTGTTCTTGCACGGCATCCAGCACGTTACCTCGAAGACTATGGACGGGAGGAAGCGTATTCCTTACACGTATAGATTAAGAGTCTGAAACCCTACTGGTTTCAGACTCTAAATCTACGCACTAAACACGGCATATCCATACTATAAACACTCATATATTCAAATTATTATCTTAAAAACATATTCAAATACCTTAGTCTTGAAAAGGAAATCTCTAATAAGAAATCTGATCCCTCACTCTGTCTCGAGACAGAGATCCAACGCCTTGGCCATCTTTGTTTCGTTTTCCTAACTTTCCATATAAAATAATACAATTTCTCTCTATAAGTATTTTATTCGTGTTTCTATCTAAAATAATACAACTCGTCTCTGTCGTATGTATTGTATTCGTTCTCTAACACCTAATTAGGGGTGTAAGCGTTCCATTTGAGCTCCATTGTAGTGTCGGTGCACTACAAAAAAGAAAGCAAACACACAAATTCAGCTTCCCACTCCTGACTGCTGCAACAGCTATTTACGAACGGTCTTTCAGCCATATGAGGAAAGTAATATCCCCCTTTGTAGCACAGGAACCTTCACTTTGTAGCACGAGTTTGCACAGGAGCCGCGAGTTGGCCTTTGTAGGTTGTGTGTAAGCGAATGCAGGCGGTCTATAAGTACAACAAGAGGTAAAGTAAGCAGCAATGGAAGCTTCGTTGAAGATTCCTTCTGTGCACGCGTGAGGCTGGCTTGTATTACCAGCCTCAGTGAGGTGCTAGAGATACAGAACCTTGGCGGGCTATTTCTATAGACCTGGAGTGCAGTCTTACTCCAACTCATACGTTGTCTCTTGCCGTCAGTGCTGGGCTTCAAAGTCGTTGACTCAGCGACCGGCGGGTTCGTTGCAGTCACTGCGTATCCCTGGAATGGAAGCAGGTGTCTATGGACACCACCGATGAACTTCCTTCCACCCCTCACGGCCGTGAGGCGGTGTTGGTAATCATCGATTCTCTCAACAAAATGGCTCGCAGTATTCCAATAACGAAGACAGCATCCACATAGGATATCATCAAACTCTTCGCGGACCGCCTCATCAGGTATCACAGGTTCCCGGTTGCTATACTTCTCGATCGCGGCCCCATATTCCACTCGGAGCTCTGGAAACGCTGATGTGCGCGGTTCAGCATTGTAAACTCCTTACCCTCAGACGGCCGGCCAGACTGAGAGAGTCCATCGGACCTCAGAGCAAATGATCTGCGCGTACATCCAGCCGCACGAGTCAGAGTGCGAACGACTCTTCCGGGCTTTCGAGCTGGCGTACAACACTACGAGCCTATCCTGGACGGAGCCCAGCCCCTTCTAGGTGATGATTGGAGAAAACCCCTTTACCGCAACTGACATTGATGTGGTTGATGGCCGGGTCCCATCTGTGACGCCGCTTATGACCAAGTTTTTCCGCCGTTTATGCAACCGGGCGCAAGGCCATAGCATATCCTCAGAGCCAAGCAGCAGCAGAAATTTTATGGTGAAACCACCGATCTAGAGTTCCAACCGGGAAATAAGGTTTGGATTGACAGCAGAGATTTCCCATGCCATACCTAGACCGGTGCTTCAAATTCGAGCCCCTCTTTCCTATCATCGAGTGGATCGATCGGTAGGCTAGTTTACCGATTGGCCCTTCTTCAGACTCATCAGCGCCACGACCTCTTTCATGTATCACAGCTCATTCTTGACAGAGCACGCGACCCGACGATGCAGGCGGGTGACGCAGCCGTGGGCTGGCTCCCTGTCAGTGACTCTCAGGGGAACTTCAGCGACGCCTACAAAGGAGAATGCATTACGGAGCAGCAGGCAGCTGGAGAGACCTCAAAATACCTGCTCCAGTGGCGCGGCGTCTCTGAAGACCACGCAACGCGGGAACCAGCCGAGCGCCTTCGCGGCTCCCCAGCTCTACTCCACGCCTGGAGGCGTCGACTGGCCCGGGCGCCGGCGAGCGCGCTCCTTCACGGCCGCCGCCCCACCTGCGCCGCCCTGAAAGCGGCGCCTTCACAGCCCCCCAGGGGGCCGCTATACGCTCGTGGCTGCGCCACTCGCTTCCGCAACAAGGGGGAGTTTCTTATAGCGGGTAACTAAAATTTTGTCGATCTAGTGGTTCTATTACTTATGTTAGACTCCGCTTCCTCCTTCTTAGATGGGAATTCACATTTCAAAAATAGGAAGACGATTTACCAAGTATTAGCTTGACAAAAGGAATAGACACTCAGAAACTCGAGCCCTCGTGTAGACCTGGAGGCCAGCCGCGGTGCAGCTGCAGCTGCTGCCGATTGGTTGCTGCGGAGCAAGGCGCCCTCAGGAGCCGACCCTGGACGCCCCAAAGAGCCTCCAGGGTAAAGGCACACGGAGCATCAGAATTTCTTTTTCTCGCTTTTTCATTAACTGAAACCTTCTCGGCTGGTGGCCATTAAGTTATTTTGCACGTTTCAGCTCTTTGTCTAGTATTGACTTTTGTTTTCATTTCCAACGTGCCCAGGGTACCCTAAGAATCTCTGGTGCGGTGTCATGTCTAATCGTTGGTACTTGCTTCCCAGCGTTAAGAGATATTCTATACGGTTCCAGCTGCTCCGTATACTATAGAATTTAGAAGTTTCAGCTTTCATCCTTTCCGAAGGGTATTTCACTCTCCCCAGCATGCCCTGCTGAACCCCAGGGAATTACACTCAACGCCTTGTTAGCCGCTCGGCTGCACACCTACAAACTCGCATAATCATGCTAGACAATGAAGATGCTGCAGGCCATATCATGATTCGCCACAAATTTAATGCATGAAACGGCTGTTTCTCTTCTATGCCTGACGCCAGAAACGGTCGACAAGCACTCTTTGCTCAACGAAACGCAAAGTAGCTAGGAAACGGCCTTCCACAGGTGTCTAGGGTTAGCGAGTTACTTTTCATTCCTCGAAGCATCCCATAAGATATTTATTTTCTATTTATTTAGGTTCTTGTCACTTTATCTTTTCTGGTATACTTGCGTTTCAAGCTTTACAAACCATAGACAACGATGCTACAACGATGCATGTTGGGGCTGGTGGGAGTTTCCCGGGGCTGTTTACAAATGAATCATCCAGCGAATAAGAGATGTAATTAAAGAATATTTATAAATTCTGATTATTTTGTGTTTTCTAAAGGCTGTGTAGACAGCGCAACACTTCAAATAGAGCTGCTCTTTAGCATGCTTGCAGTGGCATCGCCGGATATGGAGTGCTGACTCATTGCCTAGTGGCGAGCAAGGAGAAAATTCGTAATTTGTTTTGGTTTCCCATTATATTTCTTCTCTAGTGACTCATTCAACAGCAATTGAAACTCCTTTCCTTCAGGTTTCAGCAGCATTCGCAACACTCTACATATACCGCTGTGCCGTGTATGCGCGTGGCGACGAGCGAGCGAGAAAGACGTCGAGTTTGCAACTTTTCCTCCACATTTGCGTTCTCGTATTTTCATTGCATATTTAAATAAATTTAAACTTTTGTTGAAGACCCTACCCCCTTCTTTTCTCCCGCATCACAGCGGCAGATGCATACTGCATTGAAACGAGCTCAGTCTAAGCGCCAATTCATGCATATGATTCATGAAGGTTTCATCAACGAATTTATGATGAAGACGCAACGAAATCTTTCTGAAAAGTTTCTTGAAAACTTTCTTTGAATCTTTTGCAGAAATTTCTCTGGAAATCCCCTTGAAACCTCCTGGAAAGCGTTGGAAACCAAAGAGGTTTCCTCATAGGAAACCTCTTTGAAAACTTTCTTGAAAACGTCATCGAGGCTATTCCCGGAAACTTTTTCAGAATTTTTTTTTTNACCTCTTTGAAAACTTTCTTGAAAACGTCATCGAGGCTATTCCCGGAAACTTTTTCAGAATTTTTTTTTTTAAATATTTTCTTGCAAACTTTGTTTGCAAGTCATTTCGCAAACTTATTGAATATATTCCCCCAAAACATCAGAAACCTTCGTCTATATTTTCTTGAAACTCTTCTCGATGAGCGAACAAGCGGAGAAACTCCACAGGCGAAGAGCTTCAATACAACGGCATTTCGCTGGCAATGTAAGTTCTTTGCCTCGTGGTATATCATCAATATTTATAAATTCAGGATTCAGGATTCAGGGTTGCAGCAACGACGGGCTAGGGTCTGCATGCACTTGAGAGTATTCGCGAGGAAGTTGAATAGCTAGGGTTTATAAAGTTGAATAACATTCAAGACGAGGGTTTAGGGTTTAGGGTTTAGGGTTTACTGAAAGGGTTTGCAATTTGTATTACTCAAAGGCTTGTTGCCCCCCAGATTAGTTTCCATTTGTGTATTTCTCTTTTTGTTGTGTTTTGTTGTTTTCTTTTTCTGTTGATTTTCTGCATTTTTGATTTATTTTTGTGTTTTTATTTTTAAATATTTATAAATTTTAATTTTATTTTCAGATAAATGAAGAATTTACTGCTTTCTTTCCAAGAAGCCGTTGATGGCTACAGAACAGTGCGTCAGTGTGAAGCTCGAGGCTTGAACGAGGCAGCTGACTTGTAGGTATAAAACAAAAGAAAATATTAATATTATTTTTTTAATTTTATAAATATTATCTTTTGAAACAATATAAATAAATAAATAAATAAATATAATCAGAAAATACAGCATCCGCTGTGAATGTGTAGAACTGCAACAACAATAAAGGAATTCAAATTCAGATCTCTCTCTCGCCACTTTGCTTCACTTACTCATATATATATATACACATAATATATATATATATATATATATATATATATATATATATATATATATATATATATA